TGATTGACGGGCTACCAAGGTGCACGGTCAGGTTCACAGAGTCCACGGAAAAGGGGAATCTGAGTCTTTTTCTGTCAATCACTACTGAGTCCTGAGCGTCACCGTGTTTGGCATGGGCTGAGCTAGGCTAGGGAACCGGCCGGGTTGAGCGGATCTTGGACTTGGGTTCTGAGTCTATCCCGAGCTTGGGGAAGGGCACTCTCAGGTGTGAAGAGTGGATTTTCCCAAGAAAGTCAGGAGATATAAACCACAGTCATGATCATACATGTTTGGAGACTAGGGCTGCTTAGCAGAGAGCTTCCAGTCAGTTCTGATGTACTCATCGATTTAATGTCTGCATCTGTCTGTTTTTCTCAAAAGGCTGCATGCGGAGGAGCAGGAAAGAGTGAGGGGTGCACGCAGAAACCACCAGCAAAGTTTCCAGGCAGCCCCAACCTTCCCAACCTTGCAGGACTGGCTGGAATTCAGATATACAGCAGGAACTCATTCACTGTGGGTCTTTCTTTCAACACAGACTTATCACATGTCTGGGAGTGAAACAGACCCCTAATCTGGGGGCCCTCAGCACAGCCCCTGGTGATGCGGCCTAGCTCAGGGACCCACACAGCCCCGGCTGAGGTCACATGGACCTTCTGCTCTAGAGGACTGCTGCCTTCCGCTGTCCCGGTGTCTGGGTCTAGGGTAAACACATCATTACCACAGTTAAGAAAGCACTCGTGCCGTGACCAGCGAGGGGAGACAGATCCCCAGAGTCTCAGCCTCCTCCCGAATGGCTTCCTCCTTTCAGGCAGGTGGTTTGATTAAAAGGCTCCGATGGCTTATTCCATTAGGAGTCACTGTAGGTATTGCCCTGGACAAGAATCCTTCGTCATTGATTTCATTGGTGGCTGCAACCCTAAAGTTGACGGGATGGCTAAAAGGTAATTCACTTGCCCAGCTCGGCTCAATCCCAACCCATTATCAATTGACTTGGAAGATGTCAGCACAGCGAGCTGTGGAGAGTCTAAGCTTTTGGAGGGAGGTTAAGGAGTGAATAACACATGTGCACTTACCTGGTTAAGTGCTGACTTATGATGTATTGATTTGTATAGCACCTCCATCAGCACCAAGACAGCTCACGTCCTGGGAGAGCACCGTGCTACCTAGCTGTCCTTCGGGAGAAGAGGTCACTCCCAGCGTCAGTGGCTTCTCCTTTTGCAACCTGTCTGGGCACTGTGAAGCCTTTGTCCTGTTGGGTATACTTTGCTAGCCCTGGAGGACTTACTGTATAACGGAGGAGCAGGGGTCTCCCCTCTCCCTATGTGTCTGTATGTCTGTCTGTCTCGGTCTCATGTATGTGCATGTGTGTGTGTGTGTGTGTGTGTGTGTGTTTTCAGGTGTACACAAGTGTGCCCCTCTGCACGGGTGTGTGTTGGTGCACCTGTTGTGTATGTAGACAACAGAAGACAACCTCAGGTGTCATCTTCTTGGAGGCTAACCTCCTTTTGGGCAAGCCTCCCATCGGACCATAACTCACCCATTAGACTAGTCTGACTAGCCAGGGAGTCCCAGAAATTCTCCTGTCTCTGTCTTCCGTATACGCTAGGCTTACATGTCTGTAGCACTTGTAGTGGTTGACATTTTTACTCGGACTCTGAGGATCAGGATCAGTTGTGGAGACTGTCGGTGAGCGCTTTATTGACTGAGTCAGACCCTCAGGCTCAGGGCCTTCCTCATTCATATGTCCACTGGCCAGGGTGGTTGGGGCAGGAGGGAGGCATCACAGTGGTCTGGATAGTAGTTTTAAGATCCCGATGAAGCACATGCATGAAAAAACCCCATTCTTGTTTGGCGTACTCTTCCCTCCTAGAGTAGCTCGGACTGACCTTGAACTCTGAACGCCATCTCTGCCTCCAATGTGCAGGAGATACAGATGTGCATTCCCCTGCTGCCTCTCTTCCACCCAAAGAACGTCAAGGCGTTTCCCCACTATCTTCTCCCTCCGTAGATACCTGCGGACATATTTCTAGCTGCGGAGCTAGGCAGCCGTGGCGTTTAAGAGGCGTCATTTTGTGATGTGTACGTGGCCTTATCAGCGCCTGTCCTCTCTGCACCGTGGAGTGTTATCAGCCCCTCTGGGAAGGTGTGCGTGTTTGGGGAAGCCAGCCTCTGTGAGAGGTGTTACCGGAGGACAAAGCTTTCAGGTGATGGAGTGGCTGGTATGAAAGACACATCAAGATAGCAGGTCTCCCGAGAATGTTCTCTGTAAGATTAAACAGCGAGAACAGGCGGAGCTGGGGACCCAGAGCTAAATGTGTTGGGAAAGAGCAATACAAACACGATGAGGTTCCTTGGTAAACAACGAGGCAGCCTTCGCACGGATGTACAAGCCCCTGGAAAGAACCCTCCCATCTACATAGCGGGAAACGGGGCCTTATGAGCAGCCTTGGACCTTGAAAGCTGAGGTCTTCTGCCCTCCTTTGAAAGCAGTTATCTTGGGAAAGTAGCTGCAAGGACTCGGATGTCTGAGGGAAAGCAAAGGCTACATACAGGGCATTACCTTCCAAGCCATCAAGTGCTCGGAGAAATCCAGGACTTGGCTTAACTCTGGAAGAATTTTCACTCTCAAATTATAGCCGTACCCATAGCAAATTTTGTCTGGAGACTGTCTCAGATACAGGAAATAGTTTTGGGAGAAGTAGGCGGGGGAGACGCAGCATTTTGCCCAACGTAGTTCAGCTTAGGCTGGGTAAAAAAAGACAAAGGGGGGGATCCAAGGTCCCTGGTGTCACACAACCATCACTTCAGACACTTTGAAGGTTTAGCCTAATGTTTAAGCACAGCCTGTAAATTTAGCAAATTTAATGTCTCAAATTAAAACAGAGAAGTTTGAGTGGTTGAGCACCTGCCTAGAATCCCCCAGTGAGGGGCTGGGGTGTGGCTTCATGGTAGAGCAACTGCCTAGAATCCCCCAGTGAGGGGTTGGGGGTGTGGTTCAGTGGTAGAACACCTGCCTAGAATCCCCCAGTGAGGGGCTGGGGTCATGGCTCAATAGTGGAGGACTTGCCCAGCGTGTGTAAGGCCTCAGGTTCAGTTTTCAGTACAACAACAACTACTGAAAGGAATCAATTCTAACTTGTAATATAGGAAAGTTTCCTACCAAGATCACAGGGACCTTCTAGGGACCATAGCGGAGACAAAACTATCAGGAAGCCCACAGATATAAGCAAAACCTTGTTTCTATTGGGAAATGTGTGTTATCTCACGAAAGACGGCTCAGTTGCATCTGTTTCTCAAAGGAGGCCATGAAGTCCCAATGTCTGTTTCCTCCCATCTTCCAAATCAGACTCTGACAGTTAACTGGATCCTGCTCCATGTAACCCGTGATTTTTGACACCAGCAAATCCAAGTTCTTTATCAACCATGAACTGCAATTTGATTTTTATTTTTAAAAAAATTGATAGAAATAGCAAAACCAAGCCTGGTGGTATGGGCCAGTACATTCTGGGTTCATAGGAGTCTGAGGCAGAAGGATCACGAGTTTGAGGCCTGACTGAATGTCACAGTGGGCTAGGGACCAGCTTGACCACCTCGGTGAGACTGTATCAAAATAAAAAGCGTAAAGAAGACTGGGGTGTAGCTCAGTGTCAAAGAACGTGTTAGGCCTGGAGTCCAGTGCCTACTACCAAAGAAACAAAAAGAAATTGGCAACACTCCTAAGTCACAGAAAGACTGTTCGTGTCAGCCGAAGCCAGAGCATTGGATGCGGTCCACGGCCTCTGTTCCCCATCTGTAAAATGGGCATAGTAAATCTCACTGATGCTGTGTGGGGCCTGTCAGGAAGATGACAACACACAGCCCAGCTGGATGAGGAGCCTTGGTGGCTAAGCAGGCTAAGCACCATTCCTCCACGGTCCCCTGTCTCTGGGCCATTTCTAGCTGATACCATCGCAAGCAAGGGCTGGCTTGGCCTATGCCAGGCAGGGCTATTGCCTGATGGAAGGGCCTGCAACCCCAACCACCGGCTGGATTTTCCCAGCATTCCTAGCTCAAGACCTTGACCTTTCATAAAAGCTCAAGGGTAGCCGGGGGAGGGTAGATTGTCTTTTAATTTAATAGGGAAAATAATCCGTGGGCTTATAATGAAATTGGACAAGCAGAACATAACAAGTAAATACAATACAAACTATGTTGCAAGCCTCTAAGGTAACAGAAAATAACTAGTTTTGGTTGCCTTTTTAAAAAAATCTATTATGAAGAATGTCAAGCATTTGACAACAGAGTATTTAATAAAAATACTGTAATTTGTGTTTAAGCGATAGCAATAGATATTACATTTATTTTATTTCTATCCAAGGAGACAGGTTTGGGATTTCTTAAAGGAATTAGGAAACACAAAGTGAGAGGTTTAATGGGCCTGAGATGAGTGGGCTTTGGGCTGGAGCTCCCTGGGGCTTCTACACGGGGACATAGTCAGCTGGAATTGGGGAGAGGGGGTGGTGTTGCCCAGCCCACATCAGCTCCGTGAGAACTTACAGAGGGATATGGCGGAACCATGCAGGAAAATAAACCAGAGTTCTGGCTAGGCAAGGGGTGGGGTGGGGAGCATGGTGTGTACCTTCAAATGTGGTTATTTCCATGCCTGGAAGGTGTCACTCCAACTGTGCCCCATGGCCACAGAGAAGGGTAGACCACGACGGTGACAAGCAGAAGCAAGGCCGATGCTTGGCAAAGGGGAACTAGGGAACTCACACCGCGGCATCTCTCTCATAGAAGACCAGCCTAGCATAGCTGGGCTGTGGGCGGGGCCCCCAGTATGCAAGGCGGATGAGAAAAAAATATGCACAGGAGGTTCGCCTTAGACTTAGACTCACGCATGAGCAACCGTAGAGAGGGGACGGATGTCCTAACGTGGGTTTGGAAGATCAACAGCAGTGGTAGCCGCCTGCGGATAGACAGAGAGCGCAAGAGGGCCCGGAACAGGGGTATAAAAGGAACCGGGAAGTAGAAGTGGCGTGGCAGGGAGCTTACCTCAATCTCTCCAGCTTCAATTTGGATAGGCGAGGACGGGGCAGCAGGAACAGAGGCTTGAGTGACCCAGCTCCCTCCAATAGGAGCTCAGAATCCGTGACTTTAAGACATGTATGTCTCGGGCAAGTGTTTTTATTTTGTTTGTTTGTTTATAAGTGAGCATTCAATATTTTGGCTTGTCTCTGGTGTGTGTGCGCACGCATGCATGTGTGCGTGCATGCACGTGTGTGTATGTGTGTATGCGCGCGCGTGTTTTCCTCCAAATGATAAAATTGAGGAGTGTTTCATAGACCCACGTAACTGGGACGAAGGACTCCCTGGGCCTGGAAGGAATGTCTGCTCATAGAGCTGGCCACAGAGAAGGCCAGGGACCTTCTGACTTTGATTTCCTAGTGGAGACCCGAGGGTTGAGTTCAGATGTTTGGGGCACATCAGGCTCTGTTGTTACCACCTGTGGTGTTGATCAGCTGAGATCTGAGCAAAAGTGGGGGCAGCAGAGGGTCTTCCGAAGCCCCTGGGATGGGAAGGCTGGAGAGGGCTTGGGGAGAAGTAGGTGAACTGCGTGATGGGGGTGGTGTGGACGCTGCAGGGAGGGAAGGGCGGTAAGACTTGGCCAGGGGGCCGGGCGGTGGTGGCGCACGCCTTTAATTCCAGCACTCGGGAGGCAGAGGCAGGCGGATCTCTGTGAGTTCGAGGCCGGGCTGGACCGATAGCCTCCAAAACAATACAGAGAAACCCTGTCTCGTAAAAACCAAAAAAAAAAAAAAAAAAAAAAAAAAAAAGACTTGGCCAGGGAAGGGTCAGAGGTGTGCAGTCACCTCACTGAGCCTGACTAGTGAGGCCATGGGGAGGGGGTGCTGGCCTGTGGTGCTGACTGGTGCCCTCCGAACAGGACCCTTTTTGGGCATTTGCCCAAAGCCCAGTACTATCACAACAAAATGCTAGCCCAGAACCCAAGCTTCCGAGTTTTCAAGCAAAGCTAAAACCACCTATTTCAATGAGGGCTCTGCCTTTTTTTAAACATTTTTTTTAAAGACTGGTTCGAATAATTTGCACAAGCAATGAATACGGTGCACAGATCCGAGGTTCTGCCGAGCCTCAAATCATGCAGCAAGTAGCGTAAGATCCCAGAGACCTACTCGGAGGTGCAACAGGAAGAAAACCCAAAGGAACCCTGTGCAACCCCACCTGGGTCTGGTGACTGTTGATCTACTCCCTCGACACCTGATCCCAGGTAAGTCCCTTAACCTCTTTGAACCTCAGTTTCCTTTTGATTTAAACGAGGATCCTGGGCCATGGGAGGGTTAAACATACCACTGTCTAGCCGGGAGACAGTGTGTGTTAAGCTGCATGGTGCCACACGCACTCAAAGAGTGTACGTTTTCATCAACCCGGGGTCAGTGTAAAATCTATCCAGTAACTTGAATTGTCATTCTCAGCAAGACTAGCGTTTCCAAAAATTCCTCTTGTGTGGCCCAAGACAGGCGGTGCTAGCGCTGGGCTAACACTGAAGGCTAGTTCTCTGTGTGGCCAGCCAGGATGTGAGCATAGATGAGACACCACCACCCCCCAAAAAAATCCTGCATGGCCCTGTGCCTGTCTGTCACCAGGAAGGAACACTGGGAAACGAACCACCTCTTTGCCTCAGCTCTCCCTGGAACTGTTTCGCCCGCAGTTGTTTTCAGCTGGCTGAGACCACATCAGAGAAGAGATCAGAGTGATTGGCCTCCTGAGAGGGGAGACTCCGGTGACAAGAGGCTTGCGAATTAAGCTGTTGCCACTCAAGAAATTAATGAGGAAAATGCTCTCTGATTTGGAGTGTCTGAGGCGGAACAGAGACCCGGTTAGCTGCACCCACCAGACTGGAGCCTGTAAGGGGTGTGGAAAAAAAATCTTACAAGTTGAGATTTAATCCAAAGTCTTGGAACTTAGAACAGCGTCCCTTGCGGGGCCACCAGCCGCGTGCGTGTAAAGGTATCTTCTACCTCGGCCTTCTGGAACATCCCATCAACCAAACGCTACAGTCACCTCTGTGATCCCTGCATCTCACAGGCTGAGGATTCTTCTAGGACCCCAGCGACCGGAAGTTCCCTTTGCGGGTCTGCCTGCCAAGCTCAGGTCAGGAAAGGAACAGACCAATGCACGTGCCCACAGACCCCGACAGCCCCCCCACCCCGGCCCTCACCCACCCTCCCCCGGCTCTGCTCAGGTAGCCTGTGGCTCGGCCCTGAACGATTCATAATCTTGGCACCTAGATGGTAGGTTCCGCCTCTTCTCCGGTCCCATAAATTAATCCCCTAAATGCATAATTAACTGGGAGTTGAAAGGTGAAGTTGAACTTGACCAATTTACTCTTCTGAAGCTGGTTCAGTTCGGATCATGTGATTTTAATTCTTTCCGTGTGACCAGGTGATGGGGAAGGAGGAAGGGGGGGGGGAGACGCACAGATTAATTTCATTCCTTAACCTCCCTAATGCGCCTGCTTGCTTGCATCGAGTTGCAGACAGCGGATCATCATAAGATTTATGGGACTGACCGCTGCCTGCATCTCTCAGGCTAATGACACACACACTGGAGTCATTGATTTGTATGAGTAGCCCCCGCTCTTCATTTATCACAATTTAATGTAAGAGTTTGCAATGCAGAAAAAAAAATCCCACATGGGAAACAGGGACCTATAGGCCCAGCCGCTAACCAGTTATGAATCATTTGCTGCTTGTAATATATAGACTGTTCTATTCTAGAAAATGCCCCCTAAGGTCATCGTCTTCTCCTGAACATCCCGACAATTAAAGTCCCCAAGAAGCTGTTTGAAGATGCATGACCCACAGGCACCTTGGTTAGCTCACACCCTCTTGTAATGCATGCTATTGATTTGCGTCTGAACTCTCCGGAACCCTTCGGAAGTTTCCGAGGGTGGGGCTGGATAAGTAGCTCATGGACTGGTCAGTCAGGCCACACGCGGGCGTAGGGGCATGCCCCCTTCTCCACAAAAGCGCTGTGGGCAAGCTAAAAGTTACCTGTAGCTTTGAGGGTCAGCGCTACCCACACACCCCCAGATTAAGAACAAATCAGCATAGGACCTTTTATATCTGATCGTGAAAGGTGCCAAAATGAACAATTTGAAAGGACCACGAAAGAAACTAAAGATGCCTTGAACAGTAATACTGGGTGCACTTTGTGCTTTCCCTGGGGTCATGAGAAGACTAGCCCATCTCCCAGGAGGGACACATTTATTGCGTATTAATAGGAAAACCACATTCTATTTTAAGCACACATGACTTAGTCCTTCTTATGTTGCTATAACAAGTATCAGACACTACAAAGTCCATTATCAGATGGGTGTGTCTGGTGACATCCTTCCTTCTGAAGAATACTTAGGATCCCAGGGTATCACACAGTGAAAGGGACAACCACAGATGTAGGCTGTCCCACCAGCACCCCTCAAATGTCCAGCAGCTGCTCCCCGAATGCCACACAGAGGCTTGTAGCAATTATAAATGCTTAGCCCATCGCTCAGGCTTATTACCAACTAGCTCTTACACGTAAATTAACCCATAATTCTTATCTGTGGTTAGCCACATGGCTTGGTACCTTTTCTCAGTAAGGCATCCTTCTCTTGTTTCCTCTGCATCTGACTGGTGGCTCTTGACTCCACCCTTCCTCTTCCCAGCATTCTTAGTTTGTTTGGTTGCCCTGCCTATACTCCCTGCCTGGCTGTGGGGCAATTAGTGTTTTATTAAACCAATTCAAGTGACAAACCTCTACAGTGTACAAGAGGATTATTCCACAGCACACAGGCAGCCATGCTGGGTTTTATGTTAGTCCAGGAATGAGTGATTCCATTCAGGAGGGTAGAGTATACGCATGGCTTCAGAACTACATCACTTCAAAGGACCCAACTTGCCCTACCTGAACCAACTGCTTTTTAACCTCGCAGTGGGGGATTACTGTGAAATTTTGTGGGGAAATCTGAGTCCTAGCACAATTTCATATTCTTACATAGGAAGCCCCCTTTGAAAAGATAAAGTTTAAACCTTCAAAGAAACATGCATAGGCGGGAGTGTTGGCCACGCCCCAAAGCAGCTTGAGGGTGGAGGAGGGGCCTTCGCCTGGGGTATTTCGAGGGAAATGGTTTGGGAGCATGGCTCTTACAAAGCAGCTCACAGACGTGTTGAGCAACGAGGGCACTTGGGAGGCAGAGGAATCAGGATCCAGGACCCCAGAGAAAGGGAGGCTTAATGCCAGTTGCAAACAATAGGTTTCGGGACAACAGTGGATATCGCATTGTGGATGGGAGTAATCTGAGGCCTCAGCAGGAGAATTTATTGTCTCAAGGAAAGAGCACACCAATTGGCTATCCAATGACCAAACGGTCAGCCCTGAAAACATTCATACTAGTCACATTATACAGGATGAGTGGGTTATGTTTACATATTCAAATGTGTGTGTGTGTGTGAGAGAGAGAGAGAGAGAGAGAGAGAGAGTAGCAACAATTAATGAAAATATGAGGTCATGATTTTGAAAGAGAGAAAAGAGTATATGAGAGGGCTTGGAGTGACGAAAAGGGAGGGGATACGGTGTAATTACATTAATCTCAAAAACAGTAAAAAAAAAAAAAAAAAAGGTCATGTGTGACCCTGCCTCCTGAATGTCTTACAGAGAAATATAAAATCCTATCATTAACACAGGAAGAATGCCCGGGGAAGTCGACTTAAAGGGGGAAGAGTCTCATTGACTCAAGGTTTCACAGTGTCCTTGAGGTCCATGGTCACTTGGCTCTGTGTTTGCAGGCTTTGCATTGAGGCAAAGCTTCATGTTAATGGAGCAAGATGCCCACCACATGGTTGCTGGGAAGCAGAGAGACGAGTGGATGAGTCTGGAGATGAGTTCTACCCTTCAAAGGCACTCTACCTACCATGATGGCCTTCTTCCAACCACACCCCACCTCCCGACTTTCTGCCACCTGCCTGAAATGCTATCATATTAGGACCACGTCAGGAGATTAACCCATCTATGACATAAGAGCCACCATTATCCATTCTCTTCCCCAAGCCATCATTTGCCACCAAACCAACAGTGTCTTTGGGGGACACTTGAGATGCAAACCAAAAAGGGATCTTTCTTTGTAAGTGTCAGTATAACACAAAGAACACAGCTGAGCCCAAGCTAAATGCTAGTATTGGAGTTACTGACTGATCACGTCTGGCTAATGAGTACACATGAACCACAGAGCCTGCCAAATCTTGTGCCTCCCTGGAGTAAGAGCATGGCCAGAGCCAGGAGGCATATGCATGCTGCACACCAAGGAACTCTCTGGAAGGGGCAATGGCACCCTGAACAGCAATAGGAGTTTTGTACTTAGACATTGGTTTCAGTATCAAATTTAAGAATCTCAAATTCTGGGTGTTCACCATATTTATTTTTAGGTAAGGGGTATAGAATCTCCTACAATAAGGTCATAAACTCTGGAGACCTACCTTACTACAGATAGAGCACCTGTTATTCATGCTCTGGTATTCTGTACTGAAGACCTTCCTTGCTACAGGCAGAGCACCTGTTATTCATGCTCTGGTATTCTGTACTGGAGACCTTCCTTACTACAGAGTACCTGTTATTCATGCTACAGTATTCTGTACTGGGGAAAGCTGTTGAGTGGAGCTTTTCGTGCTTCCTGTGGGAGCAGTGGGGTAGAGGAGAAGAAGAGGGGAGACAGGGAGGGAGTTGGGGGAGGTTGGGGGTGGAGGAGAGCCAGAGAAGAGAGAGGGGTGAAGGGAGGGAGGGGAGAGAGGAGAATGAGAATGAGTCTATGCTGTGGTTTAATCTGGAATATCCTCAAAAACTCACGGGTTACAGGTCAAAATAAACCCTTTTCCATAGAGTGATCACCTCAGTTACTCCAATGGCCTCTTGGGATCCCTTTACAGGGAGTCACATTGCGTGGCCTCAGGCTCTCTGGAACGTGAACAGGAGACTCTATGCTGCCTTCAGTTTTGCTACCACTACCACAGGGATGGTGCTGCCTGTCCTGCTGCTAGCTGGAGGTGACCTGGGTCTCACTGCAGTGGCCTCTGTGTGCTTTGGTGTCTAAGAAAACACTTCTCTAGGAGGTTGTTTTTGAGCAGGGTGATCCTGCAAGTAGGTATATTTGCAGCTCGGGCTCTCTCCTTTTATAGGAAATTTGCATTTTCAAAAGTTGGAGGCTTCAGTGGGTGGGATCTTGCTCAGAGGCTACCTTTTTGCTTTTCTATTTATTTAACTTAGTGTGTGTGTGTGTGTGTGCGCGTGCGCGCGTGCGCGCACGTGCAGCAGGCACCATGTGTTTTTAGTGCTCAAAGAGGCCAGAAGAGGGTGTTGGATCCCCCAGAGCTGGAGTTGTAAATGGGTATGGGCTGCCATGGAAATCAAGGGTAGAGAGTGTAGCTCGATAGTATAGTGCTTGCCTAATATGCAGAAGATCTTGGGTTTCGTTTTTGTAGCAGGAGAATTAAATCACATCAATAAAAAAGAACTAATGTACCCAAAGTGTCTTCTTAAATGGCATTTAACTTGAGATCAAAAGTGATGCCACTGTCCCCTTCACAGGCTTTCATTAGAAGTGTGTTTGCCTTCTATGACCTCAACATAATTATTACAGGTTTTTTTTCTGATATAGAACATATCAGAAAAAAAACCCAAGCTGAGGAGTAGTGTATGCAATATTTGACCAGTACTCTTGAAGGTTGTAAAGCAAACAGAAAATGCTGAGACATTATCACAGATCAGAGTAGCCTAAGGAGACATGACAACTCAAGACAAATGTGAGCTCTTAGATTGAACCCCATGACAGAAGGGGGAATTGATGTAAAGCCTGTGGAAAAATAAGGTGTGATGTTTAGCAAATGGTGCATCAGTGTTCACTTAGTGATTTGACAAATATAAAGCGGTTAAGTAAAGCTTCAGTGTTAGAGAGGGTGGGTAAAAGGCATATAGGAGTCTTAGTAATGTCTTTTCAGCTCTTCGGCGAACCTAATGTTGCTGCAAAATAATTCTTTGCAAAATGAAAAGGGTGGAAAGTGCTTCACCACATAACTACTAGTGGCAGTAGAGC